AGCCCATGGACAGATGCCACCAGCTTAAAACAAAGAAAGCTACCAAAATGCGCCGTCACCTCTGAGTCTCTAACTACACTGGCTCTCTTAATCTATACTCGTTAAGACAACACAATAGTTCTGGAAAATACAGTTTGTCTGCTTGGCGGCAGAAATAGGTAGGTAACCTACCCAGACAAGCTAGAGCAAGGGATTTTGTGACAGTCTTTAATTACAAAGTTTATCTAAAAATGGACTATATTTATATGGCGGCAAATGCTACCTTAGCACCACGTTTGTAGAAGATAGATTTCTCAGCCTGTAAACAGTCCTTTGGTGGATACGAGCCTCTTGAGGGAGGACTTGCTTCCGCTATTTCGTTATCGGATAAAAAATAACGACAAATTGAACTAAAAAACTATATCCAAAAAGCAAACGAGTTGATAAAATGAACCCAAAGTACAGGGAGAGCATAATGTGGGAACAGTCACCTGCGGCGCCTTCTACCACGATATCCTTCACTAATTACAATCGTTATCTGCATGAGATAATAAGTACGCCACAAAAACACCGACCTTTCCTTTTCGTTTTATATTTACATAATAATGCGTGGGGCATAACGACCGCCAGCGAGGCAGTGTTGTTATAATGATGTCGAGCGCCGGCATCTTTGCGTTTTTATACTCGCCTTATACAACCATATCGACATTTCACTAAATATAGAAGACAAATAATTTGAACTATTATAAAAAAAATAAGCAAACTGACTGCAATTATCATCAAGACTGGTTGAAATTAATGTGACCATTGTAAAAGTATAGTACTATCATGGGTGTAGAAAAAATCAATCTACAAACCTATAAAAATACGGGAGTCGATAACCCTTGTTTTAGAGTATGGTTAAGTGGAGTTATTTTACTTAAAATAAATATACGGTATTTCCAATTGAATATTGTATAAGATAAGAAATAAATATAAATGTGTGATTTAAGCATTTATATATTCTTTTAAATAATTTTAAGCCATTTTAATATAGTAAGGTAACCCCTACCGCAGTAATTTCTCAGTTGTTTTATTTTTTTAATGCCATTTGTGATTATTTTTTTCAAATACCTACTAGTTTTTAGATTTCTGGGTTATTACACTACACTCTACAGTCTAACGGAATGTACGTCTAACACAATGCAGACTTCTCTTTAATTGTGTGGGGGCTGCAATATGACGTCTCCCCATTCACTACTTTAATAATCGTAGCGTAAAAGCATGCTTTCTAACTGCAAGGGGACCCTTCATATAGACTCTTTTTATATTCCGGAGGGGTGGTGATGTACCTACGAAATGTGTATATAAGCCGTCATTTATATTAGAACTATGCTTAGAACTGTGACATACATGGAGATGCATGCTCAATTTGCTGTATTATTTTAATGAAATTTTGTTTATTTAGTTAATGCCAGAAAGATTTTATGGCTTACGATAGCAGGCGGTGTAGCAACTAAACATCACATCAACATCAGACGTAAACACCTGACCGGCGACGGGCGGCTATGTCAAAAGTGCGAGACGTTTTACTGCGATCGACAATCTGACTGTTAGGCGTGATGATTGAAGCAAATTCTCCTTGCAACGGGAGGAGGCCCAAGTATATCAGTGGTTTTTTACGGGCTAATAAAAAATAAAGAGATAAAAAATCTAATATCTCATGTATTTAAAAATATTTCAAAGATTTCAAGTCGGTAGTAGATATACATATAAAGCGCAGAGTAAGATTAAGCTGTAAAAGCCAAAAAGCTTACAATACTAACATCTAATAGACTTAGTTGCATAGATCAATAAGTTGCAATGAAATAAACGGATTGTTCCCCTTTTGGCCCGTAAAAGGTGACAATAGAAATGTTATTTTAAAGAGACTATATAATTTGCCAACCCCATATTTTTTTCTTCACAAAACCACCTAGGTTAATTGAAACTTGTGTTAACGAGAACAGTAATTTAGACTTTGATTTTGTAATTAGTTAAAATTCATATCGGGTCTCATATTAACCAAGTTACGCTACATTTTATTGATCCCAGGAAAGATTAACAACAGTCTTATTGCTACACATAGCAAAAAAGGAATTAAATATAATGAGATAAAGATTACCTAACGGGTAGCGTGAACTATAAAAATAAAATGTTATCAACATCAGTATAGAAAGATAACAGATTTTCAGCGATAAATCAGTGAATATAAATGAACGACATATGCTTAGAGACAAATAATTTTAGTTAACTCATTTTTTGAACACACTAATGTAAGGATTGATCACTTTTATTTAAGCGACAGAGGTAGTTATTTATAGATTATAATGTAACTTAGATTAAAGTATTTTAAATAATTTATTTAAGCGAAGACAACTCTATGCATGTTTTTATTCTTTGATGTCGTTTTTTTCCCTTCCGCTACAAGGACGGATAAAATTACAGATACGTATTGTCATGCCATTGCGATTATTTATAGAAAATTTTGTATTTTGTATTAATTGAGACCTACATTTTTAATCTCTGATCCGTCTTTTTTATTGATAGCTACTTCGCGATGTTAACGGTTTTTTCTATACCTACAAGAAATTTGGTTTTAGAATAATGACATTACGCTTTAAATTTTTTTCAGCGTCCGAAAATTCAATGCAATCCGAAAGATTAAATGTATGTTGGTAAATTCGTAAAAAGAACGCAAAATTTATTTTTTAATATAAACAAATTAACAAGAGCGCCATCTAACTGACGACTCCTGAATTACTACGTTATTTTAGTTTCCAGTGCGAAACAAGCTACCAATGCGAAGTCAAAAAAAATGATTTACAAGTTTAAGTAAGACACATCACACCATTTATATTTTTAAATTAAATTAATAATATGTTGTTTTAAGACAAATTTATAACAGTAAATATACTTGTAAACATATTTTCGTCCCGTTCCTAAAACTGCTTGACGCTGATTGGTCGGCTGATATAGAGGGGCGCATGCGCGCTCGCCATGTGTTCGGTCGAAGCCGAATACTGGCGCGTTTGCTCTGAGTTACCAGGGCCGCAGCTCTCTGTAGGAGTTACCCGCAGACTCAATGTTCATGTAGAACATAGACTTTAAATACATACGATGACGGTTCAAATTAGTACACCTATTGTATTTCATTTATGCTAGGCCAAATCTCCGCAAAACAAGGTAATGTAAAAGATAGGGCAAAGCGGACTTTAACGCAATAGGAATAAGACAGATTTTATAATTACGTTTGGGACGTCATTAAGTTAGTAGTTTCCTAAATTTGACACGGGCGTTAGCGAATATATTGGAACTTAGGCTATGGATTGTCATAATAATACCTTAGGATGAGGCTAAGAATCTAACATAATAATCGAACATTAGACAAATTGATTTAATTTTTTGAGATATTGACATGCTTGGATTTCATATCTTTCTTTACTTGTATTTTACATCATGTGATTTTTGTATTACTATCACTGAAATTTTTGAACTCATTTTGATATCAAATAAATAATATTATACCTACTACATACTTACAAAAGTTTAAAGAAAAAATACGTCTATTCTGACTGTGTATTGGTACTTACAAAATGTACTACCTACTATAAATACTGCAGAGATTAGGATGAGTGTATGGGTTAAATTTTGGCATCCTACTAGTAAAAAAAATATTTATTTTGCAAACTAAATTTAAATACATACGAGGAGAAAAAAATATTGAAACAAGGGTGAGAAATAAGAAGTAACAAAATTTTTAATAAAACTATAATGTGTAATCGTAAAATGTTAAAACAAGTTAACTACACGAAAATGTTCTCGTTACATTTTTGGTTTATTTTACTTATTGCAAAGGACGCAACCACATTTAAACGATTGAGCTATATTATTTAAATAAACTAAGAGATGTAATTATTTATTAGTACTGCGGCACCCTTGACTCTATATTGGTTGAGCATGGACATATCACGATACGCTCACTATGTATGTCAGTAGTCATGCTGGTAGTCTTTTAAAGACCTATTTTCTAGCAGGTAATTTAAGGCTGCAGATCTTAACATGCAAACTTAAGTATTGATTAGTACATTATATGATTAGTACAATAAAAATATACGATTTACCTACATCATTGCAGATTTGCAGCATTGATTTTAAATGTTGCTATTTACAAGATGCAACGAAATACTTCTTAACAAAGGTAACAACGATGAATTGTCCCTAAAAGAACGTAACTCCCTGACCTTATATCCTTTTAAAATTAATTAAACTACTAACGTTATTTAGTCAAAACGGGACGTGAAAAATTCTCAAGAGATAGATACATGTACATTTTTAAGAGATACATGTAAATTCTTAAGAGATACATGTAAATTCTCAAGAGATACATTTAAATTACAAAAGAAACTGAATTGTAATCTACAAATCGAGCACCAACATCATATCTTTACCACAATGATTTTATCTAATAACGGGACAATTTAACAAAAATGCGAAAAAAATAACACTACAATGACAAGGTTTTACCCTCGCGATACTTCAATGCCCGAAACTTGTTTACAGTCAGAGATTCAATGTGATCTCAAGAAGGGCATCATTTAAAAAGAAGCATCGAATTTCTCACTGCGGCCCTCAGTTCTTGAATATAAGCCGGCGTAAGGGGAGCCTTGGTAATAATAAGAGACGAAAGCATGCGTGAAAAGGAGCCTAAAACCCTTGCGATAATTTCCGAACAGCTGCTGCCGGTGTCACAGCTCACAATGCTCGGATTAATGCACAAAATCTAAATTAAAATGCCATGTACCGTGTATTTTATCAACAAAGCGTTATTCAAGCGTGTTTTGGTTTACTGTGCAAGCAATGCAAACTATCGTTTATTGCGCAACGAGCGGTTTACAATAAAGCGTACCAAATATAATGTCATACGCTGATATGTGATCTCTTTAGTTTCGCAAGCACTGAATTCATTGCGGCATTCGCTTTCGAAAAAAGACAAAGCTCACCTTTCTAATCCTCTTCTTCATGATACGCTCGGCGGCGTACACGCTGTCGCCGAGCTCCATCTTATGCATCCCCAGTTTGATAGGCGGGAAAATGGAATTCCAATAACCAAATCCAAAAACACTGCAATCCAATTAATGTGATCCGATCACTGCATCCAATTTGTAGCGCACCGCAATCCGACACACATTCTCTATCACCAATACACTCCTTGTACACTGTCACTGTTTAAAGTTGCCGCGCGAACGATCGTTCTGTCACAGCTAACGGCAACACGTCCACACACTAGGTTGTCGCAGCCAAACTGAAGCAGGGGGAGGAAGCCCCCGCCCCGCTCGTCGCGCAACGTTCACTCCGTTCTTCACCGACAGAGAGCGCTACGTGTTTAAAAACAACCGCTCGATATCTGTAAACATGTTTCATCACATTACGCACCATTGAATATTTTCAGTTTATTATTCGCACATTTTAATTATAATAACGTAGTTTCAATAGATATGCATGTAGTTTTATTGACAGACTGTATTATTTACAGTCTATTAATGAAATTGTAAACAACATAATATGTATTATTTAAAAAAAAAAAACTAAATGTACAGAACTAACCATACCATAAATTAATATAAGATTAGGCTATTAAATATAGAAGTATAATTAGTGAATTGCAAGCGACTTCGTCATTGAACTGCTATCAGTGCATATAGTAGGTATATTGTGTTGGCTCGACAATGAAATGAATGCGTCTCGCTCGAACGGCGGGCGATTCCCCACGATGCGATGCGGTGTGGAAGCCCGGTTGTCGCGAGGGCGCCGTTGCCGCTTTGCGCCAGCTGCGAGAGAAAGACCGAGCGCCTACCCTATTATTTACACGCGACGTTGCCACACCGACCGGCCTACGTTGATTACGAGGACACCGCTTTTACGTTCGATTAATCCGGCATAAAAATGCGCAATATTGTAGCATTACTTTCAGTCAAACCAAATTATCTAATACTTTACTGTTAAGAGCGTATTACTTTGAAGATTATATTAAAAACTTCCAAGGTAAATACCTGTATTCTCCAGATGATCCGTTAAATTCCGTAGACGGGTACAAAATTCACTTTTGCTTATATTAGCAAGTCCGGGGTGAACAGAAACCGGTTTTTAAATTGTTACGACAAATCGCAGCGAAAACGTCTAACCAACAGAACGCACGAGAAGTAACTAAGGCATTTTCGGTCGTATCGAATCGGTTGGACATTCGTGAAAGGTCGGTATTTGGGGCTTGCGGGGAGCGGTGCGAGCGCGCCAACGGCGCTGTGGATTGGGTGGCCGGCTGCGGGCGGCGGGCGATGCGAGTGCGCGCCCAATGGCGGCGCGGCAGCGAGCGCCCCGCCCGCGGCCGAGCGGTTGCTGCGTGGTGCTTGCTCGCTCTGCTCTGCCGCCGCGTTCGATCTCTGCTTTGTTTTTTGCCGCGCGCCTCACATATAGAAAAATAAACGGACATTTTGGATTACGTGCGTCGCGAAGGGTCTCTAGATCCGGGCGCGGCGCGCACGTTTATTTATTTTATTCTGGCGGCGTTAGGGAAAGAGATATAGCGCGATAAATAGACGCAGCTTGCGTTTCGACACGTTTGATAGATAGATCGGGTTGGTTTTTTGTTCGTCACATCATGTTGATGTATGGGCTATGGGTGGCGGTTTAATTGTAATGGATTGTAATATCTGTGTTCGACTAGTGGCTAGTCGGCCTCGACAGGGGTTGCTTTCGCGTATAAATCTACTCGAAAGCAATATTGAGTATACGATATTTACAATATTTCCTGGAGATAAGTTCTTATCTTTGCTGCGCATTTTAAAAGTCACAGAGATTTGCCAACTCTTCTATTTAGATAGTGTAGTATCCTACTATACCTGGTTGTTATGGTCCGGATTCTTTTAAAAAAAGTATATAGTCGGCGAAACTACTATATTTAATAATATGGCGTAATGTTCTTAGATAATAATGGTTTATGGCAGCAAAATAATATTCCTTAAAAATATTTTTCTAAAGCATCATTATCTATCATAACATCTACAAAACAGAATTTCGTGTAAAGAGCTTCCTTTACATAAAGTTCTGTTTTGCAGAAGATTGAGGCAAAACGACCATTTGTGTTTCGCGTTTGCCTACCTAGGTAGGTAGGTAGGTAGGTACTTGTTGTTCGCACGTAATGACATTTTGTTTGAGTTGACTGTTTTCAAAGCACTATACAGTCGACTGTCGCTTTGTTTTGCAATCATAGTTATATAACCATGTTTCATCGCAAGTCAATAAAATATTATAAACGTTATTTTCTCGTCAGCGTCGAATTTCTCACTCAGGAGTTGGATCGATCCACCCGATGTTTTTTTTCTCATAGGTTCTAGTAGGTTAAATTTCAAAAATTCGCTTACGGAGGAAAATAGTTGGTTGCGAATAATGGCTTGCATAACTGTTGATTCAACATCTGTTTCTGTTTTGTATAATAATATGTAGGTAGGTACCTAGGTAATTCGTTGGTTTTCTAGAATAAGTTTTTCGACTGCTCAAACATTTTCTTGATTAACCGGTTGGCGACCGATCTGTCTTTGCTACACATTTATCTAAAGCTCTCCCATCCTATTTTTAATTCAGCAAACAAATGAAAACTAATACTCGTGAATAAGACTCAACAAAAATAGCCTAAACTTTGGCTTTCACAACAAAGGAGGGCCGTTAAATCTTTTTATAGACACAGTTATTCAAAGCGGATCGCCATTGTACGAGTAGCGAGCGTTTTCCCGCCAGATTCTCATAAAAAAGCATTTTCCGAATAAAAATATTTCAAATATGCAAGCGTTCCACTTTTAAATTAATAACTAAATAATGTCCAGCTGTACCAATATGATGTAATTCGCCAGTGTCAAACAAATAAGTAAAGAGTATCTAACGTCTTTTGGCATGCCTCTAGTGTTAGTGTTAGGAATGTTTTGCGAGCGTCCTATTGGTTTTACTACCCTATGTCTGTGCCTGTGGTCTGTGTGGTTCTTCGAAGATGAAAAATATCGCGGCAAACTCTAGAAGACAAATTTATAATGTTGTTGTTCGCTTCCGACTACGGTGGCAACTACCAATTACCTACTCGGAAGGTGTGGTGGGTAGGAAGGAATGGTTTAATGGAAGAAGCTGGTGCACTCCATTTTTTTCCAGAACCAGTGGTAAAAGCAAAAAATGCATTTTTATAAGTATGCTTGTAATATATCTTGAATAAACAAATATATATTCTTACCTTGCGCGTAGGAGCAACGCTTGCGTCTCCTCTAAGTCTTAAATATATCTAGGTACAGACGACTGATCACTTCCATGTCAGTGACAATAGAACTCAGTTATTATTTATCACGGATGGATTCTGGCTCCGGATGGGGATGGGGATGGTTGATATCTTTTCCGCAGACTCCTTCTGCGAAATTAAGATCAAGCGGTTGTTGTCAAACATAGTATACGTCCTTACTTAGGTATAAGTTTTTTTTTTTTATATAGGACCCCTCTTACAGCAAACGAGCATACGACTCATCTGACGGTAAGTGACTACCGCCGCCCATGAACAACTGCAACACCAGGGGAATTGCAGCTTCGTTGCCGGCCTTTTAAAAAGGAGCGCTAAGCTCTTTTCTTGATTATTGCTTACTTAAATTAACTAAGTAGGTATTGATTTTCTCTAGGTATACCTGTCCCTTTCTATTGTTATTTGGTGAAAGGAGATATCTTTAAGTGTTACTTAAATTGACGTCGATTTTTATTATTATAGCCGACTGTTTAATAAATGTAGGTACCTACCTACACACAGATACCTACTAAAGAAGCCTTCCCGATAGTTGACGCTTATGTGAAAACAATGCTAGCAAATAAGGGATATCGAAATAGCACCACATTACAAACAGATACAAAAAGAAAATAATATGTTGTGTATTATTGAACGTAACTATACCTGTAGGTAGGTACATAAAAAACCAGCAAGCATCTTGTCTACAAAACTAAATTGAAAAACCTTAAATTATGTGCTGGATTCTGTCTGGATAGCAACCATCCTAGTTATGCCGCCAAACGGCAGTGCTTGCACCGCGGTATTCCGGTGTGATGGACAGGTAGGTAAAGAAAGCCAGTAGGAACAGTTGCAAGCTGTGAGCCATTCCAATTTAGCCCTTATAGGCGATAAATCATCTGTAGCCTTTGTTTAAAGTTGGTTGCAGGTGGCCATGGACTACAGTAGCCACTTAGCATCAGGACAATAAGTTCATTGTGAGTTCAGTTTTATATATATAAAAAAACAGATTTTTGTTTGATTTGAGTGCCAGTTTCTCTTAAATCATATTAAATTGTTGTCAATAACAGTCACAACAGTATCTACCTATCTAAGATTTTTTTCGTAATTTTGTTTATTTCAATTTTCCGATATAAAACTCAATTTCATAGTTAAAGGAGCTAAGGTCAAAATTTTTGCGAACAGCGATTGAACAAATAACGGATTGGTCCGTAGAGGTTATACTTTGCGTGCCTTTCGAGACGCATTGTTTCCACGTCGGATGTCTATTCAAAAACAACATGAATTTACTTAGTCAATGGTTATAAATTATATTTTTATTACAAAAATATACCAAAGAAACAAACGGATAACTGATTAAAAAAAAAGTAATAACACGTCTTTCTTTGGTCCTGCACTCGTAGATACGGTTGTAGGTACTTTTGCCTTTACATAATAAAAAAGACAAATTATTCATTTAAATATTTTGTATACAAACAACTTCACAATATGCTGGTTTTGGCTACAGATTTACTCAGCAGACAACAATATCTCAGGTTCACGCTTTAAGGTTAAAACAAAATAAATTGATGTTTATATCTACATCGGAACACTCGTCACTCGTGTCGTCGTTTCCAATTGTATCACTTTTACGTATCAAAATATTCTTCAAATAAAACAGCAGCAACAATCCGCCGGCGGTCAAGTTCCCGCCAAAACTGCAACACGTCTTAATTTAAAATTTACTTAGAACTCCAAGTCAAATCATGTTCAAAA